CTTGCTCAGCACTGACATTGTGGGCCACACTTGCTCTTGTGGGAGGGAGCAGCCCTACTGAGTCATTGCAGCTTGTTCCTGGGTCTGAGCCTCTTGGAGATCCCATGAGCCTGCAGTGCCCTTTATTACATCCCTTTCTGCACATGCCAGCTGCAGTCAGCTTCTGTTGCAGCCTCTAAAGACACCCCAGATCCCCTCACAACTAAGGGAAAGAAACAAGTGAGTCACATGGGATACAGGACATGCTCCCAGACATTTCCACTCCCCACCCACGTGGAGGGGCTGCTGAAACAGAATACTTGTATCCCCTTCCCGTTTCTTTTTTTTTTTTTTTTTGAGATGGAGTCTCGCTCTTGTTACCCAGGCTGGAGTGCAATGGCGCAATCTCGGCTCCCAGGTTCAAGCAATTCTCCTGCCTCAGCCTCCCGAGTAGCTGAGATTATAGGCATTCACCACCATGCCGGGCTAATTTTGTATTTTTAGTAGAGACGGGGTTTCTCCATGTTGGGCAGGCTGGTCTTGAACTCCTGACCTCAGGTGATCTGCCCACCTTGGCCTCCCAAAGTGCTGGGAAACCAAGCGTGAGCCACCGTGCCCCCAACCTCCTTCTCATTTCATATGTTGAAACTCTAATCCCCCGTGGGATGGTATCACATTTGGAGATGGGGTCTTTGAGAGGTGATTTCATCATGAGGGTGCAGCCTTTAGGGCGGGATGAGGGCCCTTATTAGAAGAGACATGAGAGGGCTTGCTGCCTCGATCTCTTCTCTCAGCCATATGCAGACACAATGAGAAGATAGTGATCTGCAAATCAGAAAGTGAGCCCGCCTCAGACTGTACATCTGCTGACACCTTGACCTTGGACTTCCCGGCCTTCAGAGCTGTGAGCAGTAGATGTTTGCTGTTTAAGACACCCACTCTGTAATAGTTTGTTATAGCAGCCAGAACTGACTAAGGCAGGGACCGAACTGGGGGCCACTGCTGCCCTTACATATTCAGAAATCATGACGTTCTATCCTTAAATGGCTTGGCTGCTGAGGACTGCCCAGTACAGGCTGGACACAGAGGAGGCCCTTGGTGGGGGGGTGTTTCCTGAAGGAACCAGTGAATGAGCGATTTAGCATCTGTGGGAGGCAGCTACATCCCTTCCATTCAGGTGGTCCTATATTAGAATCCTGACTCTGCCACTGATTTGCTGATTTGTTGTCTGGTGTTCTAGAGATGTCTTAAACCACCTGAGTCACTGTTCCCTCCTGGATAAAACGGTGATTCAACCTGCATGCCTCTCAGATCTTGTCTCCCTGCATGCTCCTTGCTCACTGTGGGAAGAAGAAAAGTTCCTCTTTAAAGTTTCCTTTCTTGTTAAAGAATAAATCATAAGTGTGCTAATAACTCTTTGTTAAGCCCTAGCCTATGTAGCTGTTGGACATGCCATGATTACAGGCACGTAGTACATTCTATGTTCTTGTGCTTTAACCAAGATATCTGTGCTGGACGTGCTCACAGGCATGTCCCAGCTCTCCATTGCTTTGACCTGTTTAGAAAAGTTTTACGTTGTTAGCCAATCGGGTTTTAGTTTAGATGGTGAGGTCTGGCTCCAGCCAATGGAGATCAGACACAGCAGTAAGGACGACCCCAAATGTGTAAGGGATAAATATATCTGTTTTCCTTTGTTCATGGTACTCTCATGGCAAGATGGCTACCGAGGGTCCCCTTCCTGCAGTCCAGGAAGTAAAAATTGTGTTGCTGAAATATCCTTTGTCTCAGTGCTGATTTTTCTTTGAGGCACCGAGCATCTATTTTCAACACTCATCAACAAGCTAGTCTAGCCTCGGGGCCTTTGCATCTGCTGTTCCCTCTGCCAGGAGCTCTGTCTCCCCAGCTATCTACATGGTTCCCTCTGGTCTTTGTCCATTAGGGCTGCTACAACAAAACACCATAAACTGGGTGGCTTATAAACAACAAAAATTTATTCCTTACAGTTCTGGAGGCTGGGAAGTCCAAGATCAGGGTGGCAGTGTGGTCCGGTTCTGGTGAGGACCCTCTTCTGGGTTGCAGATTGCTAACATCTTGCTGTGTCCTCGCATGGTGGAGGGGGTCAAATGAGCTCCCTGGGGCCTTAGTTATAGGCACAAGAAGGGCCAGTGTATTAGTCAGGGTTCTCCAGAGGGACAGAACTTACAGGGTATATGTTTATGTATTAATAAAAAGGAGTTTAGTAAGGAGAATTGGCTCACATGATCACAAGGTGAAGGTCCATGATAGGCTGTCTGCAAGCCGGGGAAGAAAGAAGCCAGCAGTGGCTTGGTCTGAGTCCAGAAGGCCCCAAATAGGGAAGCCAGTGGTGCAGCCTTCAGTCTGTGGCCAAAGGCCCCAGAGCCCCTGGGAAGCTACTGGTGCAAGTCCAAGAGTCCAAAGCCCAAAAAAACTGGAGTCTGATGTCTCAGGCCAGGAGGAGCAGAAGAAAGCACCCCGCAGAGGAGTAAGAAGGAAGCCAGAAGTCCCTGCAAGCAAAACGATCCCATCTTCTGTCGCCTGTTTTGTTTTTTGTCTCACCGGCAGCCAATTGGATGGTGCCCACCTGATATGGTTTGGCTGTGTCCCCACCCAAACCTCATCTTGCACCGTAGCTCCCATAATTCCCGTGCATTGTGGGAGGGACCTGGTGGAAGATAATTGAATCATGGGGCCAGTTTCCCCCATAGTGTTCTCATGGTAATGAATAAGTCTCATGAGATCTGATGGCTTTATAAGGAAAAACCCCTTTAGCTTGGTTCTCATTCTCCTTTGTCTGCCACCATGTAAGATGTGCCTTTCACCTTCTGCCATGATTGTGAGGCCTCCTCAGCCACGTGGAACTGTGAGTCCATTAAACCTCTTTTTCTTTATAGATAACTCAGTCTTGGGTATGTCTTTAATAGCAGTGTGAAAATGGACTAATACACCACCCACATTGAAGGTGGGTCTTCCTCACCCAGTCCACCAAGTCAAATGTCAATCTCCTTTGGCAACACCCTCACAGACACACTCAGAAACAATACTTCACCAGCTATCTAGGCATCCTCCAGTCCAATCCTGTGATGCCAAATATTAACCATCACAGCTGGGCATGGTGATTTACTCTCGTAATCCCAGGACTAGGAAGCCAAGGTGGGAGGATTGCTTGAGGCCAGGAGTTTGAGACCAGCCTGAGCAATACAGTAGACCCTGTCTCCACAGTCTTTTTTTTTTAATGAAAAAAAAAAATATATATATATATATATATGGGCCTAAAATCCATTCACAAGTGCTCTACCCTCATGATCCAGTCACCTCCCACGAGCCCCATTTTTTTTTTTTTTTTTTTTTTTTT